CGTATACAGTTACCAGTAGGATCGCTGACCATTATATAATTGGTCTCGCAGCTGATTTAGACAAACAGGTAATGAATTCTTTACCGCGTATATGTTATAATAACAACATGATTTTGAAAATGTTACATGATATAAAATGGTTAGATTTTTTATGTACAGAAGATCCTGTTGAACTTTATTCTAACATTGTAAACATATTTCAGGGCATATACAAAACATGTACTTTTCAACGCACACATAATAATAAACGAGAAACGCATATATGGATAGACAAACAACTGCAACATGAAATAAATAAAAAGGACTCTCTTTTTAGGAAATGGAAATCCTATCCAAAAAATAATAATTATAGACTTGAGTACACTAGGCAGAGAAATTATACAAATAAACTTATTAATAGTGCTAGGAATAATTACAGAAAAAGATGCCTAATAGACTTCAAAAGGGATATGAAAAAAATATGGAGTACTGTAAATTCTTGGTTAGGGCGAAATAAATTATCTGTGGATAGTGTCATCGAAAAGTACATGTTAAAAACAAAAAATAAGACAAATGTATGTGAGGGCTTTTGTAATACTTTTACCCGGGAGATAGAGGACATTAAAAATAAGCACATTTGTAACAATTTGTTACTTGAACGGAAATCGTATGGTTCTGAAAGTGATGCTAGTTTTAGATTTATAAAAGTACTACCTGAGCATGTAGTAAAAGTGATTGACAACATGGACTGCAATAAGGCGCCGGGATCGGATGGTATTCGAATAAAGGGTCTAAAAGAAATTAAGAATAAAATTGCCCCAGTAATTGCACATCTTATAAATCTAAGCATAAAAAAGGTTATTTATCCTGAGGAGTTGAAGTTAGCTATAATTAGGCCAATATATAAACAAGGTCTTCATACGGAATTTACAAATTATAGGCTGATAGCCATTTTAAAAATATTAAATAAAATAGTAGAAAAAATAATAGTAGGTCAAATTACAGCTTTTCTTGAAAATAACAAAATTATCAACGATGCTCAGCACGGTTTTCGCCCAAATAGAAGTACAGCTACAGTTTTGTCTAAATTTACTGATGATATAAATAGCTCGTTAAATAAACAAAAAATAGTATTTGCTTTATTCATCGACTTTATGCAGTCCATGCAGGAGTGCGGCATAAGAGGGCCAATGAACGCATGGTTTAGGGAATATTTAAATAATAGACAGCTGAAAGTACGTATATGTGGAACTGAGAGCAAGACTCGTATTAAATTTGGTGTTCCGACTGGCTCGGTTTATGGTCCGGTTGGATACATAATGCATGTAAATAGTATGCCTAATGTTATAAAAAAATGTAGATCGTATATGTATGCCGACGATACATGCATATTATATAGCGATACGAACCAGAACACAATACAGGAAGTAATGCAAAACGACTTCGACAATGTAGTTTCTTGGGCCCATGACAACGGGATAATAATCAATATAGATAAAACAAAATGTATGTCTATTCTATCTCCCTACATTAAAAATAAATTTATTGTCATAAAAATAATAGGACACACATACGAATGCCTGCATCAAAATAAAATTAATTGTAAATGTCCTAACCTCCAAACTGTGTCTTCCTATAAATACTTAGGAGTAAATGTAGATAGTCATTTTGGATGGAACATTCATGTAGATTCAGTATGTAACAAATTAAGATCAATTTACTGTAAATTACAAAATTTAAAGTATATAATACCCAGAAGTATTATGTACATACTTTATTACGCATTAGTTGATGCAGTAATATCTTACGGGTTGGGCGCGTATGGTCTCACTTTTCCTGTTCACCTAAATAAAATTAAATATTTGCAAATGAGAATTCTAAAATTGTTAGTAGATAAAAAAACCATAAACTCAACTAATAAAGATTATAATAAACTCTTTAAAATATGTGGTATACTGCCTATAGAATTAAAAGTCAAAATGTCTATCTTAATTGAACAATATAACAATATTGAATATAAACAGGAAAGAGAGTATACGTACCCAACACGACTATCTAGAACACACAAGCTGTGTTCCAAATGTCAAATTTTTTTATGGAAAACGTGAAAGACGATGGATTACGCCCGTATTTATTAATCAGCTACCTCATGATTTAATAAAGAATATAGAAAGTAAAAATAACTTAAATAATACTCTGAGAAAGCATTACTTGTCTCTATGTCCATAGTCGTATACCGATTAAGAACTTCAATATGCTTTGTTTAATTTCTTGTTATATTTTTTTTTACTGTTTAGTTGTAGTTAATGTGTAATTTTTATACTTTTTAGTTGTAGTGTAGTTAATAAGTTTTGTTTATTGTATTTTATTTTTCCTTATTTTGTGCTCCTTATAAAAGTAGTACATAAATATGTCTATCCACGAGAACTGCTGCCGACAAACTGTGTTCACAGTTTGGCAGATTGTGATTGTATGCATTATGTACTTAGAATTGGAAGCAAATAAATAAAAAATAAAAATAAAACTTTAAAGACTAGGAACAAACATAAGCTTGTAATACCAGTTACTAGATTCCACAGAATCAGTAATTCATTTATGGGGCAATGTATATGCTTTTACAACAAAATCCCAGAACATATTCAAAGTTTATCAATAAACAAGTTTAAAAGATTTATTAAAGAAAAACTGTACAAAAACGGTTATTATAAAATCAAGGATTATTAACAGTGGTAGAGCCATGCGGCAGCTTTTGCTGTCGCACGGATGGGCCGGCTCGAACCGGGGTGGTACCACGACCTCACAGAAAACCAGCGTGGAGTAGAGGTTTGCCTCTGCGTTTCGCTTGGTGAGTGCAGGTGGCCGGAGGCCCTTTTTACTTGGTACATTGGACCCCGCTAATTATAGACCTATTTCTGTACTACCAACTCTCAGTAAAATTTTTGAAAAAATAATTTTGGATCAATTGTTAATTTTTTTTAATACAAATAAATTACTTCATAAAAATCAATTTGGTTTTACAAGGGGTCGCTCGACGTCTGACGCCGGTGTTGAGCTTATGAAATATATTTTTAATGCCTGGGAGAATTCACAAGATGCCTTAGGTATTTTCTGTGACCTTTCCAAGGCTTTCGATTGTGTTCATCATGATACATTAATCAGGAAACTACAACATTACGGTGTAAAAAATTTGGCGCTTAAACTTATTACCTCATATTTAAGTAACAGAACTCAAAAAGTCGTCATTAATGGTAAATGTTCCTCCGGATCGGTAGTATCAATGGGCGTTCCTCAGGGCTCGATTCTTGGCCCATTCCTGTTCTTAATCTATATTAATGACTTACCTTATCTTGTAGGGGACAATCACGATATAGTATTATTTGCTGACGATACCTCTTTAATTTTCAAACTGAAACGGCAAGCAATTAAATATGACGATGTAAATAATGCTCTATCGAAACTAGTACATTGGTTTAACGCCAACAATTTGCTCTTAAACGGCAATAAGACAAAATGTATTAAATTTACAATACCTAATGTAAAACATTCGAAAACCAATGTGCTCTTAAATGGGGAGGAGTTGAGTCTTGTGGATACCACTGTTTTTCTCGGTATTACTATTGACGCGAAACTTCAATGGGGCCCCCATATATCTAAATTAGCAAGCAGACTTAGTTCTGCAGCATATGCTGTAAGAAAGATTAGAAGTCTCACAGATGTTGAGACAGCTAGGTTAGTGTATTTTAGTTACTTTCATAGCGTAATGTCTTATGGAATTTTGCTATGGGGTAATGCGACTGATATTGAAGCTATATTTGTTTTGCAAAAGAGAGCCGTACGGGCGATTTATAATCTAAATTGTAAAGAGTCCCTTAGAGAAAAATTTAAAGAAATAAACATATTAACTTTGGCATCGCAATATATTTATGAAAATGTAATGTATGTACATAAAAACATAAATAGCTTTAATAAGAATAAGGATGTTCATACCTTAAACACTAGGAACAAACATAAGCTTGTAATGCCACTTACAAGACTCCACAGAATTAGTAATTCATTTATGGGGCAATGTATACGCTTTTACAACAGAATCCCAGAACATGTTCAAAGTTTGTCAATAAACAAGTTTAAAAGTTTTATTAAAGAAAAACTGTACAAAAAGGGTTATTATAATATCAAGGAATACATGAATGAAAATAACCCCTGGGAATAAGGTGATCGCCACCATGCTGGTTCTATGAAAATTCATTTAAAATTGTATAATCAAAATTATTGTTAAGTGAAATTATGTTTAAAAAAAAAGTCCCGCTGGGTTTCTTGCTGGTTCTTCCCAGGACAGAGGTATTTTCCGAACCAGTGGTAAATAAAATAATGACTTTCAATAAGTATTATGTAATAATCCATATTGAATAAAAATCATTCTATTCTATTCTATTCATTCTATTCTATTCTTACTGGAGATGAGGCATTCCATCTTAGTCCTCACGGATGACAACGCATCTACATTTTGATTTTTAATAGAGGGTAGATGTAGATGTCTATGGGCCGCAACCACTTACCATCAGGTGGACTGTGTGCTCATTTGTCACCCTTATCCTATAAAAAAAGGAATACGTAAATGAAAATAACCCCTGGGAATAAGGTGATCGCCACCATGCTGGTTCTATTAAAAATCATTTAAAAATTGTATAAATGAAATTATTGTTAAGTGAAATATGTTTGAAAAAAAAGGCCTGCTGGTTTTCTTGCTGATTCTTCCCAGGACAGAGGTATTTTCCGAACCAGTGGTAAATAAAAAATGACTTTCAATAAGAATTATGTAATAATCAATATTGAATAAAAAATTATTCTATTCTATTCTATTCTAGTTGAGGTTTGAAATTCATCTAAGAATTATACTATACAAGTCAATAGCTTTGATCTTTTTGTAATATTTATTTAGATATAAGGTATTTTTTATTTACATGCCTATATTGATTTCAGGTGTTTCCGAAAGCACAATTCAGCGCATAGTGAACGAATGTATGAAGAATGGAGATAAATTCGTCACGCCGGGAAAACACAGGCAAGGCCAAACTAAGAAACAGATAGATGATTTCGATCTTTGTGTCATTCGTCAAAAAGTTATTTTTTTCTATAAAGTACAGAAAAAAGTACCTACATTAAGAAAACTATTGGCCGTGATAAGGGAAGAAAATTTTGTTCGCAGCGATGAATTTTTAAGACAAATTTTAAATTCTACTGGCTTTAAATTTAAAAAATGCCCAACAAACAGACAGGCTCTCATAGAAAAACCAGTTATTGCTTCAAAGCGTGAGTATTATTTAAAGCATATCCTTGAAAACTGAAGATTGCCCACGGAGCTCCAAATAAACATTATTTATTTGGATAAGAGCTACATAAACGAGTCCTACAAAGTAACTAAATGTTGGCAATCTATAAATATTTCTGGTGTCCAACAAGATGTATCTTAAGGGAAAAGGTGAATAATTGTTCATGCTGGAAGTGGTAATGGTTTTATGCCTAATGCACTATTAACATTTACTAGCAAAAAAAAAGTAACATGATTACCATTCTGAGATGAACGCACATAATTTTACAAAATGGGTAACTGAAAAGTTAGTGCCCAACATAACTGAACCATCAATAATTGTGATGGATAATGTACCTTACCACTCCATTATAACAAACAATGTATTATAATATTTATTTCTTATACTTTATTTTTCTCTTACATTATTAGTTATCTTTTTATGTGGCAACTGAATATCAACTATTAAATTAAGTTTTTTTTTTGCCCCAGGTACATACATCTGCAAAAGTTGATGTAATCAAATTGTGGCTACTGAAAAATAATATTCCATTTAATGAAACGTTGCGGAAACCATCCTTATTGATGCTTGTAAAAAACATAAACCTGAACCGGTGTATTATATCGATGAACTTCTAGGGCAACATGAACATAGAGTGGTAAGACTACCACCCTATTATTGTGATCTGAACCCCATTGTATTAGTTTGGGCAATGGTAAAAAGGCGAATCGCACAAAAGAATGTTTGTGGTCAAGATGTAGCGAAGTTAGCTACAGAAGCATTTCAGTCAGTAACTCAAAGAAATTCAAGAATGGGAAAATTGTGTTAAACATGTCATCACAATAGAAAATTAATATTTTGTCCGCGGAGAATCTCTGTTTAATGATATAGACAAACTTGTCATTTCAGTAAGCGATGATAGTTCCAGTAAATCTGAAGAGTCAAAAATGGACCAATTTAATCACGCATAAGATTTAGGCAACATTTCGGGAGTTGAGTACATCGACTCAGATTATTTGGACTCAGTTTAATAATCAAAATCTAATAACTATGTACTCGTATCAAATTTTTTTTTGGTTTATTTTTGCACCTGTAGTGTCAGCTGTCTGTCAAGGCTGGTCTTGTGTAAAACCTGCTTTCCCTAATTACTTGCAGGATACACTGTCAAATTATCTTAATTATTAAGTATGCGAATTTAGCTAATTACTGTTGGGTTACGCTTACCAATAAAAGCATGTAATTAAAAAAATATGACAATGAAGGGACCATAATAATAAATTAGTTTATAAAATAATAATAAAGTATCAAAACTTTTCGGTTGAAATCTATTGGGATACCGTATAAAAGATAGTGGCGCCCTCCTTTTTTTTCATGAGTTTCTTGACAGACTGTACTTACCGTGTAATAGCGGCGTATGAATATCCAATACCCCATATCATCCGGTGTGTGTCATAGGAGGCGTTAATGGTAAATAAAATAGTAGATAGGAATCTTTCTGTCAACAAGTCAATGATATCGGCTCCTTGGCTTAGCAATGAGTTGCAGCGCTATGGGCTGCGGCTTCGATATCCGCACGGAAGTATTTGTATGACCTACAAATAATTGTGCTGGGTAGATACATTAATTTCATAACATAAATTGATTCTACGATACAAGAGAAATTCCTGGTGTGGGTAAAAAGTTTTTTAAAGAAAAAATAACAAACCAAACAATACTAATAAAAACTGCGGCTTCTAACCCACCCGCAAAACTTGGCAACTATGGAAAATGTAATATTTCCTATATTTGTAATATTCCCTATTAGACAATCTATGGAGAAAGCTAATGTTTAGCTGTGAATAGTCTGTAATAAATGAATGATGAATGAATTATAAATCATTTTTCCATGTAGTAGCGAGTAAGAGAAACCCCATAATGTCATCGTTTGGGTGTCCTAAGAAGTGACAGAGAAAAATGAAACAGGAGACGTTCAGCAGCATCTTCCTGATAACAGCTCAATAATGAAAAGAATTTATTCGTCTACCCACCTGCCAAGCGTGGCAATTATCTAATATATTAACCATGTGAGACAATCTACGAGGGAAGCCTATGTTTAAGGGTGAAATCTCAATAGGCTATAATATATAAATGAATACTTTCTTATCCATTAATAATGTGATAAATATTGAGTTAAAAACAAAATGAATTTTTACATTCGTTCAAGTTAAATTATAGTTGCAAAACTGCGATGCAGCTTACTAATAGCTAAGTGACGCTCTGAGAATACACAATGACTTGAAATTCTGGTAAGTCGGCAGCCGTCTATCTCTTTGGCCTTATGGACGCCGCGCCGGAGGGACTCGAAAACTAATTGTACCGTTTCTATTTGTTGTAAATGTTGGAATCTTTGTCAATGTCTTGGGATAGCTCAGGTAAATTAAATTTATGTGCTATAAATGTTAGTATATTGTATTGTTTGGTATTCGTAATAATACAAACTTATTTTTGGTGAGAACAACAATCAAAACAGAATGGGCCTTAAGTAAATAATAGACTGAATATCATTAAGAATCAAAGTGCTTCGTTAGCCCTAATAAAAAAATCATCGTCAATAATAAGAAGATCTTTTGCTTAATGATTTATTATATTTACGCGAACACTACACATTTAAATAAAACTAATTTTATGGATTCCAAATCCCAACCCAAGCAAACAACTGCAAGACTTCATGATACTGTAAGTTCATACTGCGTAGATCGGAACAAAAATTAATAATTTTTAATCTGGAGGTAGCCGTGGTTAACTATGACATTGGGACGTCACACACCTCAGTCCCCCCCGTGACCATGGGTGCTGTAAAGTGCTTGAAACGTCGGGAATGTAAAATAAGTTAATATACGCGATAAAATCCGTAAACTTAGTTTTATTTAGATCTTTTGCTTCTTATATTTAGCCATACGAAAGTCAGCAGCATTATGCTTCTATGTAATTTGTGGACAAAATAAATAAATAAAACTACAAACATAAAACAATCACCTTCATACTTTTTGCTTGTAGGAATGAATACTCAAAATTGTTCAGAAGAAAGTAATCCAGAAAAAAACTAATAAAAGAAGTTAAGACTACCCGTGATGCCATTTAGTTGTTAATAAACGATCCTTGAATTTCAATCTAGCGCGAAGTTTGAAGAAATTTATAGCAGAAATTTACAAGAGCAAGCTAATCAACTTTCAACTTTAATATTTTGAATAAAGAGTAATAAAAGAATGATCAGATCGTATCGAAATGTGTTACAGAGCAGAATAAAACCCTTAAAATAAGTCTATTAGAATGATAATTATAATCTAAGACCTACAAAGCAAGATACGGATGTACACACATCAGAACCATGCTTAGCTTATTGTAAGAACGCTTATACTCACACACTCACATGCACCTAAACGTATGTATGTAAGTATGTTTTTGTGGTTTAAACAATATAATAAAAGTTTCAAATGAAACTTTTTTGGATTTACATAATACACAATGTAAAAAAACTAAGAGATAGACGATAAAGACTCTTACACTTATCTTTTATCCCTAAAATATTGATACAAAATCTATTTTTTTTTTACTTTTTTTATTTCATCAGCCTTTTGAAATAAAATCATGAGAAGCGAATAAGTTAATAAGAGACATTTTTTACATAACTACAACCTAAATTTTCTTCAAAAGATCTGCAAGTATTGATTTGTTTAAATTCTACATGGGCGAAGTCAACGATAAAGGCTAGCCAAAATAGGAACGACAATGTTATAAAAAACCAGCAATAACTTTAATTGATTTCTAAATCATTCTCTGTTCTTGCAGTGAGACTCCTCACTCCATTCGATTAAAAGTGCTTAATCCTTACAATTGTTCAAGAAACTGGTTATGGAACACTATTTCAAGAAACAGGTTATGGAACAATATTTCTCTTATTTAAATTGAATTATTTTTATGGGTTGTCTGGATGAAATTGCTTTGTTACAAGACCGCTTATTGCCCTCAATATAATATTATTATGTTATATATATATCATCATATTCATTCCAGCCCTTCACAAGTCCACTGCTGAACATAGGCCTCCCCCAAGGAATGCCACAAAGCACTGTCCTGAGCCACCTGCATCCATCGACTTCCTGCATATCTTACCAGGTCGTCACTCCATATAGTGGGGGGACGCTCAACACTTCGCCTGCCGATACGAGGCTGCCACTCGAGAACTTTTCTTCCCCATTGGTTGTCGGTTCTTCGAGCTATATGGCCGACCCATTGCCACCTCAGCTTACTAATCCGTTGGGCTATGTCGGTCACTCTGGTTCTAATGCGGATATCCTCATTCCCCTATCCATAGCTCGCTGAGCGACCTTGAGCTTCCACAACCGGCCAGCAGTGAAGGACCACGTCTCAGTTCCGTATGTCATCACTGGCAACACGCTCTGGTTGTACAGTTTCGTTTTCAAGTTTTGAGGTATACCTGACGAGAAGATGTGCCGTAATTTCTCAAACGCTGCCCAACCGAGTTGAATCCGTCGATTGACCTCTCGGTCGAAGTTGGACTTACCTAGTCGGACTATTTGTCCCAGGTAAACATACTCGTCAACAACTTCGAGCTTAGTGCTCCCAACAACTACCGGCATAGGTGTGACATGGACATTAAACATGATCTTTGTTTTGTCCATGTTCATCTTAAGGCCTATCCGTTGCGAAGCACTATTGAGGTCATTGAGCATAGTGCTTAGGTCCTCCAACAATTCTGCCATAAGGACTATATCGTCGGCAAATCGAAGGTGAGTGATGTACTCGCCATTGATGTTGATACCGTATCCTTTCCAGTCCAGAAGCTTGAAAACATCTTCCAATGCAGCGGTGAAGAGTTTCGGGGATATGACGTCACCCTGTCTTACACCTCTCTGCAATTGGATAGGTTTCGTACTCTGGTTCTGTACTCGGATAGCCATCGTAGCCCTACTGTACAAACACTTCAGCACTTCGATATACCGACAGTCAACTTGGCATCGCTGAAGGGACTGCAGCACCGCCCAAATTTCGACGGAATCAAAGGCTTTCTCATAGTCCACATACGCCAGACATAGTGGCAAATTGTACTCTTCGGACTTCTGTACAATTTGCCGAAGGGTATGTATGTGGTCTATGGTGCTAAAGCCTTTTCGGAAACCGGCTTGTTCGGGAGGCTGGAAGTCGTCAAGTCTGCGCGCGAGACGATTCGTAATGACTCTCGAAAACAGCACGTAGACGCGGCTCAGAAGGAAATCGGTCTGTAGTTCTTCAAGAGAACGTTGTCGCCTTTCTTGAAGAACCAGACCGCCGCAATTCTGCTCCACGCCTCCGGTGTGATGCCACCATGGAGGACGGAATTAAAGAGCTTCTGAAGGACTTTAAGTACCGGTTTTCCACCCGCTTTCAGAAGTTCCGCTGTAATTTCATCCTCGCCTGGGGCCTTGCCGTTTTTAAGGTGCTGGAGAGCCATTCTAATCTCGCTCAGACTGGCGT